GTCCCCGACGCTGAACACCGTCGAGGATCCAGTTACCACGGACCTGAAGGAGATGCTAAAGGAAATGAAACACTCGTTACCGAAACGCTCGAAGCCAGGGAAATTGTTGACGCGCGCAGACGACCAGGGGGTGATAAAGGAGAACGAAACGTCCGCTGGCCAAGAGAAGACTACCTATTTCGTGTCCGCGGTGACGAAAGTCGAGAACATCGCGCTGCGAAACGACTACGATACGGACAAGCAGAAGGTGTCGTGCTCGGTGCAAACCAGTGGAAACGTGAGAAGATTGAATCAACCGACGACGGAGCAGCCGTCGACGTCGGGCTGGAAACAGGAGAACGTCGTTTACAAAACGTCCGGGAGAAGTCTGGGTGGCTCGGGCCTGGTGAAGAACACCTTTCAGCTGATAAGACCGCGGGATTTTGCCGAGATCGAAGCCACCAAGACGACGAGGACTGGTTACAGCGAGAACACGTATGCGAATGTGATCGAACAGTCGCTTTACGCGAACGCTCACGTACCACCTTCGCCTAAACAACGCAGCAGTCCTGTTACAATTGAAGAGTCGAAGAAGACTAATAACGACGATGCACCGACGAATTCGTCTCTGCCGGCTGAACAAACAACACAGCGCAAGGATGGCGCCTCGCGGGGTGCCGAAGAAGGTAACTCGAGTTGTTGGACAATACCAACAATTTTCACTGATTTTGACAAAACTAAAACTAAAAAAATAAGATTGGGGCAAGTAGAAATTAAATAAATGTTGCTTGCAGTTGACTTCGTCAATCCTTATTCATTCCTTTCATCGCAACCTAATCTTTGAAAAAATAAGCTAATTGCCTTATACAGTGGTAGATGCGACTATAAATATTAGGTCTAGAAATTAATTCTGTGCCTTTACATTCACACATTTATAATTCTAGTTCAAGTAAAAATAATTATTCATCATTCTGTTACGTTAGAGTACTGTTTATTACAATGAATCTAGATACATAAATCGAGTCTCAACCTGATGGACATTAGAATGCGTCTACATATATGTACGAAGTTTAGGAGCCCACACATTATGCTTATTGTTTTTCTTTCAACAAATTACAAGTGAACTAGACAATTACTACATGTAGAAATTAATGCTCTTTACATTTATTACAAATATTTACTGGCCATTTTGTCATTTTAATGTACTTACCTACCAATCTTCGTAGTAATGAAATACACGAGTTTCGACATTTTGCTTTCACAACTATACCTGCTCTTTTGGAACGTAGAGTTTTCCTTTATATATAAACAATAAATTTACTTTTAGAAAAATAGAGAATTAATTCCTACACCTAATATATTAAATGATACAAAAGGATATATTGCTGAGACCTCGCAGTACCTGTAGCTTACGTTCCCACGAAATCATGACGCAGCCCTGGCAGTTAACATTGTCCTCCCCTTGTGAATCACGCACCTAAATTTATTACATCGATGTCATTCGTTTTTCCCTATTACTGTTTTAACGTTCACTCTCCGTTTCTTTCTTTTTTTCCCCTCCGTTTATTGCAGAGAACAATTCAACGGAGAAAAACATGAATACGCTCGCCATAAACCGATTACTCCGAAAGTTGGAAGCTGCGATTGCATCTGGTCATCATCAACAAGCGGCTGGACTGGCCAAGGAACTGGCGCGGCTCAAAATTCACTGCTCCGTAATTCGACAGCGATCGACTCGTCTCAAAGATCAGTTGATTAAAGTCAATATGTACATTGAGGACAAGCTCGCTCATCAAGGCCCGATACCACTCCAGGTAAATAGCGGTACCTGCTCGATTCAAGGTACACCGTTTGCTAGCCGTAAGATTATATTAGCTGCTTTACCGAGTCGAGATATGATAACAGCTGCCGAGCAGAATGACGGTGGCCGAGTTGAAAACGAAGGTACACACGGAATTCGAGATACCGACGAACGTGCAACGATGGATCATCGGGAAGAACCTGGCTGACCGCGATGGATCGACGCTGAAAGAGTTACAAGCGGTGGATGGGTCACCGATATTTTTGTACCTCGTGGCCCCAGGTAATAAAGCAATTTACAGTAGCCTTTCGTATAACTCACTAATTGAAATGTCGACAAATAGTGGAGTTTTTGGATAATAAAACAACCACTTTTTTATATTACCACTTTATCGGCAAGTAGCCTATTGTAGGAGTCTGTACGAAAAATAAGGCCCGGAGATTTGAAGCCACGATCTTCGGATCCACACCGCTTTTCCTACACGACCAATCTCGCACCCTACGATTCCTAGTTTTGTTTTCCTTTTTTTGTAAAATTCAATTACATTTACAACGGTGAAAATGGAAAGCATTACCCGATAATTATTCATTTGCAATTAAAAAGTACGTAACTAAATAACACTTTGCGACACGCAAAGTTGACATTTAAAAACTGATGTAATTTTCCTTCTCCGCCAAAAACTTTTGCAAGTATTATCTCTTGTATTTAAATATTCTTTATTGACTTGCAGATTTGAAACCTGAAAATGTGATACAAGTAGACAACCTTAATGTAGAGAAACTGCCAAATGTGATAAACGATGAAGCAATTGCGTCTACGGTAGGACTGCAGGCTGTGGAAGAAGATCAAGAAGTGGTCGAAGAACTTCAGGTACCAATATTGCTAAAGAATCTGTCTAATTTAAAAACCTTTAAATTGAAAGCTACTTGAGATTTAAAATAGACTCAGAAATAAAATCGAACTAATAAGAATTATTTTAGAAATCTCAGTCCTTATAATTCGATCACATGCATCTTTCATCTTGAAATTACATTTTAACGAATCTAATTAAGATGACAACACCAATCAAATCACCTATTACATTTAGTAAGATTAAAACCATGACCTTTAATGCTATTAACGTAATAAATTTATTAACTAGAGCGTTAAATTAATTTATATTCAACGAACAATAAACAGGAATCTTATATGTAATAGTAGTATTAATATTCATAATTATAACTTCAACCACGTTTCTTTAATTTGATTAATTCCATTTTAAATTCTAATGTATCCGTTTACTAATTGTCTAAAAAAATCTAAAAGAAAATCGATCGAAACTGCTAATGTTAATTACCTCGCAATAAAATAATTAAATACCTACCTACCTTATAACATGTATTTTAATATTTATAAAACAACAACGAACAGGAGACAGAGGACAAGGATATACCAGAGGACGTCAGGATGGAACGATACGAGGAACTGATATCCTTAGAAAACTGCGACGTTATACCAAACTCTGAGCCAATCGAGTGTCCCGTATGTTTCGTTACATACGGTCCGCGCGAGGGCGTAATATTAAGAGATTGCCTACATATGTTTTGCAGGTATGAAATACTATTATAAAATTATGATTCTTCCATGGCAAAGAATTCTACTCAACTAGTTTTTGTTTAGGTCATGTATTGCTAATACGATTAGATACTGCGAAGATGCCGAGGTAAAATGTCCTTACAGGGATTCGGAATATACTTGCGAATCCACTCTTCAAGAACGTGAAATCAAGGCGGTAAGTTTATAGTTCAAATTTTTTAATGACAAGGAAACTTCACTAATTGATACACGTCCAAAAATTTGAAGTTCTACGGAAATAAAGTTCATGAGAACCTAATCACAATGTTCCCTACTCCCTCTCTACTCTTTACTCATTGCTTCATACTTCATCTTTATTTAGAACAAGAGTCATAATCGAAGTCATAGAACTTTCACTCTCTAGTCCTAAACGAGTTCACTATGTCTGTTTAGCTTGTGGAGCCAGAAGTGTACCAACAACATCTTGCAAAGTCGATCGCGCAAGCGGAAAACAATGCTGGGAACAACGCGTTTCACTGTAAAACTCCAGATTGTCCCGGATGGTGCATTTATGATGACGATGTGAATAATTTCCTTTGTCCCGTGTGTGGCGCAAATAATTGTCTCACTTGTCAGGTCAGTAAGCAAACCAAAAAAATTATAATTCGTATCACGATTCAGTTGACTTCATAATTCAATCCTACTTAAGTTAGACTTCTTTTATTCTGAATAAAGTATACAAGATTCCAGATTTAATATAGATATAGATTATCAACTGATTTCACATCGCAGGTCATACACGCTGGAAAGAATTGTAAACAGTACCAACAAGAACTAAGGCTATCAAAGGAAACGGACCAGGAGTCGAGAAGAACAGCCGCCATGCTCGAAGAAATGGTGGACAGAGGCGAAGCGCTCTCTTGCCCGACGTGTGCGGTTGTGTTGATGAAGAAATGGGGTTGCGATTGGTTACGTTGTTCAATGTGCAAGACCGAAATATGCTGGGTAACGAGAGGTCCACGTTGGGGTCCAGGAGTGAGTAAATATTCGTATTATTTAAACAACAATGCATTAAAGAGCACAATATACAATAACAAATACTTTTCAGAACATTCGTGTGATTTTTAGTTTGGCTCCTTACTGTATACGTGGTAATTATTTGATTGCTTTACATATTTATTAATTCGTCTTTTCTCGTTTTCACAGGGAAAAGGAGACACGTCCGGTGGCTGTAGATGCAGAGAAAATGGAGTGAAGTGTCATCCTCGCTGCAATTACTGTCACTGAGAACTATGAAAAGATACACTTATCGCAACAATGTATAAGTAAAAAAACAAAAAAAAAAAAAACAAAAAAAAAAGAAAATGTACCGGGCGAATTTTTGTATGACATTAACAAAGTACTAATGTTTTGAGTTCGACCAGTACTCTAAACGTCCGAAACCTTTCATACGTATTTAACAACGAGTTTGATAACTGATAAAGCGATACTGATAACTCGTATTGGTTACACGCTGCTTATTCAACGATTATCCTTATCGCAGAACCGTCCTTCGTGGAATTGAAAATAATGAGATAATAAAAGAGCCGCGTTTCTCGGTTTCTAATGGTTATTCTTATTTTCTAACCGAACAAAAGGACTAGGGAAAGAATTGTACATTACTTAAAGCTTCGTGTGAATCATAAACGTATAATAAATTATCGATACAGAAAGTTTTGGAATTATACAGGCACCGATTGCTTTTCATCGTCATTAGAGGTTGTCTCATTTGTACCGATCTGTTTCAGTCGTGCCACCAGTGTTGTCTGATGATGTGTCAGCTGTCGACTTAGATTAACACCACCCGCGTTTTGCAGAGTTTGAACCAGACCCAACTGTGTCGTAGTCATGTCCAGGGACCCATATTTCAGGAAATCATCACACTTGAACACCTGTCTTTCCAATACTCCTCCTGACGAAAGTCAATTAATCAACACTTTGAGCCACAAAGTTTTCTATCGATTGGGAGGATTACGAATGGGAAGCCAGATTTCGAAAATTTCAACAAAAATATGAATAAAACAATCTAGTTTTGTTTACTTCGTGCAACAATATTCTGAAGAAGGATAGGAATAGATCTTGTCATTAGTAGAACTGAGAGAGGGGGAAAGAGAAAGAGTTGACAACCAAGCACTGAAACTATAGTTTTGATAACTGTCAACCGTGAAATACCAAACATAACATTAGAATGTTATTCTGTGACCTCTAGAACCTTTTCATATACACTGCGACATATGGTGTCTTGTATTACTCTAAAGTTGACAGTTTCTTTGATATCTTTGTAGTTAATATGAGTAGTAACTAAACAAATAATTGTAAATTGCATAGGAAATGGATAATTTGTCTTCTTCGTTGTGTAAATTATTCATATTCATGAGTATAAAAAGCAAAGCATATGAACTTTAGTTAAATGATATAAGAACGGCGTACGTATACATACATGCATAGAAAGTAAAACTTAATGGATAGACTCCGTAAAACATCTGCCACTATAATTCAAAAGGTTCATACGTTTGTTGTAAATTATTTTTATTACTTACCCATTATGCATAATTGTTGATACTTTTTCACAATGTTCTTTAAGGCCGTCGCATTTATGTCAGGACTGAACACAAATGCAGTCCATCCACCCTTTAATAACGGAGTAATAGCTTCGTATGGTGAATCCTCTATTGCTGCAAACACAACGGATTTTCCATACCGCTTATAGTACATGTTTACCATTTTCAAATCAACCTTAAAATCGAATACTTTGTCTTCCTTTATGCTATTTACATGTAAACACGCAATCATTTTCGAATTGTCGAACCAATTACGGACATCCCTCGTTAAAATTTTTTCATAGGGTCCAAGTTCCTCCTTCCTCAACAATTTCACGTTTTTGCATAATTCATACAGAGGCTTATCCTTATCAGGATTGATGAAGTATGGCGTTAAGAGTTCGTTCACTATCTTTTTCACAAAATTCACTTTCGGCTTTTTAAGATTTATTTTGCCTCTATAACGCTTCTGCTGGTACAACAACTGATTCGGTGTTAACTGAAATGCTGAAACAGAAGGAACACGTTCTACTTCCGGAGTAAATTCATTCTAATTATCCTAAGCTAATCAAAATACCTACCGTAATGTTTTCGAGATCCGTAACGCTATTCGCATCAATGAAAGGTTTTTTCGTACACAAATATAAAGATATAGAAAAACCTTTTGGGAATCTAAATATATACTGGTAACAACGGAATAGTTCCTAATTCGGAACTATTGGTTATTCAATTTACACATTGGATTTACGTGCACGTTTCTTCTTTTTTTTTTTTTTTTATTTTAAAAATAGATACATGATCGGTACGAATTGAAGACGAGTACAAAAATTATATATACAGAATTAATTACTTTTTTGCAATGATATAAGGCACTTTGGAACAAATCATACATATAAGTATATACTGTATGAACGCGTATACGTGTACGCGTGCAATAGGCGTTTAAAATGTGTATCCGTGTATAACATGCGTTTCTAGATGTACAAGTACGTTTATGTATATCGTGAATTCCGTATCTAAGTTATAAATACCCATCTAATATTATGCGATATAATTGATCGTTCCGCTGCAATAGTTACTGGATTCGTGTCGGGCTTCTATACTGTCACCGAAATTGAGCGATTTCCTATTCTTCCCTAGTCGAAGCATAGATCGTATGCCGCCTTTCTTTCGCGAACGTTTGTATCGATCATCTAAAGCTGAATTAAGGGAAGCCTGTTTCACGTCCCCCCGACTGTTTGGGAAACCCTCGCGATCGTCCTTAAAATTATTGCTACTCGTTATCTCGCCGTGTACGTCGTCCACGAGCCAATGTTTCCTCGGTGAAGTGAACTTATTATTACATCCAGGTATAGTGTACACGTATTCCGACTGAGTAGGGTCCACGGACTTCTCATATCGCTTTACATTATTGTCGCTTGTCGTTCCACTCTCGCTGCTACTTTTGCTTTTGCTCTTTTCGAAGCTCTCCAATTTCCCTCCTCGTTTGGTCTGATCCTCCGACTCCGTCGACTGGTTCGCGGACTTTTGATTGACCTGCTCCTGATTTTTGTTCTCGCGTCCCTCCCGCAGTTTCTTATTCCTTTTGTAAGTGTCCGTGTTCTTCGCGTCGAGGGCAGCGTGTCGTTTCTCAGACATACTCTGCCTACCTAGAGCGTCACGGGAGAACTTATTGCACGAAGAGTTGAATTCTTCGAGAGATAACTGACTGTCATAAGTTGGATCGCCAGAGTATTGACTGTCTTTGTCGTCTGAGTTTTTCTTAGCATCGTTGCATTGTGATTCGTTAGAGTCTTCCAGTAATACTTGGTCCATACGGTCGTCGTGCTGTCCTACTGTGATCTTCTTTGCGTTACCAACGGGTTCTATCCAAGTTTTATTGGTAGCGATGCAGTAACTTTCGTTTCTTAAACTGTTTTTATTATACTGTTCTGTTAATCTGTCGATGACTGGGTTCCAAGGAGACGCTGTCACACAGGATAATAAACCATTGTCTAAGATGTCTGATTGAGAATTTAAGTTGTTCTTTTCCTTCACCCTGCCCTCGTTGGCTTTCATGGAATCAGATATGTATATACTGTTGGCAGACTCCAATTTACAGTGTGGTGTCAAATTATCTGGAAGATTCTTTTCGTTTCCGTCGTAGGAAGATATCCTCCTAGCTATCGTCAGAGTGATTACACCTGTTACAGAGCTATTTGTATTGAGCATCGCTCTTCTAAGCGTTTCCATCGCATCGGAATTGGATAGTCCCAATAAAGATACGCCGTTAACATTGAGCAACTGATCATTCGTCCTTAACCGTCCATCTCTAGAAGCTGCACCTCCGTGAAGGACACTTTTTATAAAAATACCCAAATCCATATTAGTATTTTCATCTGTATTGGTAGTCTTTCCCTTTACGCTAACACCTAATCCTGCTTTTTCTGAATCATGCACTGGTATGTCCAAAGTTAATATCATGCGATTTTTCCGTGGGGACAAAACAATGTCCTCCGTAGTTTTTACCGACTTGAATGTACATTTATCGTAACTACGGGTATTAATTTTATCCTGCACTTCAGAATTCTTCTTTACTGGTGACGTACTCAATGCGTTCCAATACTTTGAATTATCTGTAACTTCTGTGGCTTGGCTGTTAACGGTAACGTGAGAATGAGTCTCTGGAACATTGGAGGAAACTTCTTCTTGGCGTGATACCACTATTTTTACCTTTCCACCAGGTGGAATACTTCTGAGAAGTGAGACAACCTCAGCTTGACTTTTACCTGTCATTTCTTTATTATTTACTTCCAACAGCCTGTCACCAGACCTTAATCTACCATCCTCGACTGCAGCACCTTTTGGTAAGATATTTTTGATATATATGGGACAGTGTCCTCCTGCAGGATTGTCACGTGTAGTGACGCTAAATCCAAGGCCATTGCTTCCTTTTGTTAATTCTATCTCTATCATGCGTCCAATTTTACGAGTGTTAGCAGTTTGTAACAAATTGTAGTTGCTGCATTGAAGTCTTTTGACATTATCGTCTGTTTCTGTTTTCTCCGATCCTCCGCTGACGTTTCCCTGATTTTTATGCAACGATTTCTTGCGTGGTCTTTTATGTTTTACAACAGAAATTTGCAAACACGGATCGGTCATACAAGTTCGAAAGATTTCTTGTACTTTGGAGAATGGTATATGCAACAGATTGTGACCATTTATTTTTATGATTTTGTCGTGTAAATCGATCTGCCCGTCTCTAGCAATTCGACCATTGGGCTCAATGCCTTCGACTCTGAGTCCCTGATCGTTACCCAGTAAGTCGTAACACGGCACCACGTGAAGTCCTAGTGGTCCTGCTTCGTTTTTTATCACAATTTCTCGAATTTCTCCTTGATCTCCAAGTTCGATATTGGCATTTGCATATTCAAACGATGCTTTGGCATCTTGTCCTAATGGTTCCCTACGTCGAGATTCTCTCGGAAGGGATTGAGCAGAATACGTGGTTAAACAAGGTTCTCTGGTCGATAATGCGTGCATCGACAATCTTTTAGTACTTTCCCTTTTAATACTACTGGTACATATGGAAGAATGTGTATCAATACCATAAGATAATTCTTTGCCATCCGATTGAAAAAAGTCTGGACTATTTGTTCCGACCGAACTTGCTCCATCACCACCAGCATGCGTAGTATCCGTACTTACAAAATGAGCAACAATCTGCTCTCTGTCATCAGCTACATCACATAACCTATCATCTGGATCCAGCAAACCACCTCCGGTTAAGGATGACAAGCTGTTTATAGACAGTACATTATCGTTCTTTCCAGTTGCTTTTTTATACCTGAGAATAGCCTCGTGCATCAAGTCCTTGACCAGTAGGGTTCCATCCCCGCAAGGAACCACCACTCGAACGTTGTCGAAACACACAGTTACCTTCATGCTCGCTCCGATTTCATATTATCGCGTTATACGTTTACGAGCACGTATCGATTATTCGTAACGTTTCAGTACGCTTAGAATTGTTTCAGCTATACCAGCGAAACTTCTGAAATAGTGTGAACGGACGCGTGACAAAGATACACGAAATCGTAACTTTTTCTTGTATAATACGATTATTTTCTATTATCTGTCGTATACTCCCATATTCCTATAATGAATCACCGACATTGCACACTAGACACTTTGATCTCGCTATCGTCGGTTAGCCTTGTTTAAAAACAAAGTGTGTATACGAAAACCGAGCGAACATACTCGATACAAAAGACTTTGTCACAATTGATAAGGCGGACGCGTACGCCCCAACTTTATCACAACATCAAATGTGCGGAACAGACGCACTCGCCATTGCCACACTTTATTCCACTATTCCTTGTGACAATTCAACGGAAAGCGAGAAACATGGCGATGCAAACAGTGCGACCAACAAAATAACCCAATCTACCGCTCTCGTCTTTAGACACCCAAAGAAATGCAGTTCGACTATACTAAATGAAAATTTATACGAGGAACGCTTACCTCTCTTTACAAGTTGCGCCATTGTTCAGCTGTATTATTCTCGAAAAGAGGGCAATAATTAGTTCACGTATAAGTTTCACGTCTTCTTCAACTTCTCACTGAACATCCTTATTTACACCGTGATCGCACTGAAATGGTTCACATCCACTGGTTCTTGTTTAACCTTGGAATTTAAAGGCCAATTTCCAATGAGATAAATCTTCATCGATTTAACAATGAACCACGTCTTCAATTGGTCAGTAACAAATTTGGTGTACTATATGATACTGAGTAGAATTGCGCATCAATTAGTGATATCAATTTAGATAAGATCCTACAGATGATGATTATTGTATTATTTTCACTGTGCATTTAAATAACTTAAAGTGAAAGTAATCGGATCGGTAATAATTTATTCAACAATATACAAGTGCACACTGCGATCGCTGGCTACGATAAATTCATAGATACTGTCCAAAGTTACCTAACCAAATCTTACCCAGTTTTGAAACGTCAAGTTACACAGAAAATTTCTAGTGATTAAACTACTTTTTTCATTACGTCATTACTGATTGATAGCACATTAGAACGTAAATATTTTTGATTTCCCAAAAAGATGAAGTGGTTCGAAGGTAGTATCAATGAAGCAGTTGCAACGTCAAGATCTAAGAAAGCAATTTTCGTCGTTTTTATTGAAGGTACGTATTTATAATGTTAGGTTAAGCTATTGTTCATTTTGTTCTTACTTAGTTTCTAAGGACACCAACTTGTATCTCCATTTGAAATTGCATTTATATCTTTATAGTTACTTATATATTGAATTGTGACATTTGTATTTTATGTACATAATAAACATAAGTCGAACTGTATCGCAACTTATTCACAGGAAAAGATGACACATCAGCAGAGTTTGCCCAAGCAATTAATAATACAGAAGTTTCTTATCGTTTGGAACATGAAAACTTTGTAGCAATTCGATTGGAAAGTGGATCCGAGACCTATAGGTTCTTTGCCCAAATTTGTATCCTTTTTTGTAACATGCTGGTAGTTACTTAAGCCTACATAGTAGAACTAATAGAAAAACAAAGCTATTTCAGTAATTAATCTAGGAATAATTAGTCTAGCGCTAACATTATTTAAACTATAAAACCTGTATAACAAATAATTAATGTTCTATCATAGATGGTTTATTAAAAAAAAGCATCTCTTAAATTTCATTTGAATTTTATACTTTCCTGAATGGTATGATAAGATCAATTGGTACCTGTTCCATCTCTATTCTTTATTGGTGAAAATGGTACACCATTGGAAATTATTGCTGGCACAGCAGTAGTAGCTGATTTGTTAACTAAAATTGATTTAGTTTTAACAAAAGCAGGAAAGGATAAAAACTCTTCTAACAGTTTAATAGATGCAGAGAAGAAAGCTGCTGTCGACAGTAGTGCTTCTAATAACTCAAATATAAATACAAATGCAAACATACGCCATGAAAGCGATAACATAGCTAAATCAAGTGGAGAAACATTGGTGGCACAGACATCAGAAAATGCGAGCAATAATGTTGCTACAAGCAGTACAAAGGTAGAAGCTTCTGCTAGTTTGAAACCCATGGATACAGCAAAAATAAGCACCGAGACAAAGGTTGAGGACACCAAAGAATTGACACCAGAAGTATGTTTACAACAGAGGTTTCTTACTTCTTTATTCTAGGGTTCATGTTATCGAAAAAAATATGAAACTATTGTGTACTTTTAGGAAAAAGTGGAAAGAGCTAAACAGTTAATTGAGTTGCAACGAAAGCAACGTATCGAAGAAGAGGAACAGAAGGAGAGACAAAGAGAAATAGAGCGTCGCAAAACTGGTCGCGATGTGCAAAAAATGAGACAAAAGCAATATGATTTAGAGATGAAACAAGCTCACGAGGAGAAAATGAGAGAGAAAGCTGCCGATGCAGCAGCTAGAGAAAAAGTTAGACAACAAATTGCTCAGGATAAACTAGAACGGAAGCAAAAAGAAATGGTTCTGCAGGTTTGTATAGTCTCTTTCTAATAAACGCAATTGCTAGAGTTATGTAATTTCATGTACCAACAAATTTTGTTTTTATTGATTGCAGCAACAAATGCAAAAAAATCAGAGTCAGGAACTGCCTAAACCATATATTCCTATGGTGAACGATGCAACTATAACTCGAATTCAATTTAGATTGCCATCTGGCAGTCCTCATATGGGACAGTTTGAACCAACGAGTACTTTACGTGATTTGCGTGCGTACGTCGTCCAGAACATTGATTTACCGTTCCGCCAGTTCGCAATGTCTATATCATTCCCTAGAAGAGATTTAACGCAGGAAGAAGATGATAAAACTCTTTTAGAATTGGAACTAGTTCCTACCGCTGTGATTTTAATTCTGCCTAAGAAAAATGTAATTGAAATTCACACTCTAAAGATATGTCTTTATTTTAATCGCATATTAATTTTTCATTATCCTAATCTTTGATTTCAGTCTAATGCTACTGCAGCCGTAACCACAACTCAAGATGTTGGTTTTTTGTCACGATTGATATGGTCCTTTTTTGCACCTATCAAGGGTGTTTACAATTATCTATTAGGTTACTTCTCAGGTGGTACACAGAGAAACGCCCAGAGACAACAGAGCAGCTCTGCTGAAAGCAGAGACACTGCAAATAGTTCGGATGGAGCACTCATACCAAACGTTCAAAATGTTGCTAACTCATCAGGGTAGGTCTTAGATGTTTCACATCAATGAAATACAAATATAGGGTTTATTATAATGTTATTTGTGGTATTTAGTTTGGTCAGAAGATATTTGGGTAATCAAGGGGGGACAACCATCAAAACGGAGGGGAATATACATAAACTTCATTCAGGTGGGGATGATAATGATGAAAATAACACGTGGAATGGTAATTCAACGCAACAAATGTAGATTACCAAGGCGTTCGAGTTCCGATAAGTTCAGTTGTTTCACAAACGAAAATATTTAAAGCGCAACGGTTATACTACCTTTAATTAATAATATATTTTATTAAGCTTTTACATAATTCTGTTTCATTGTAGCGAAATCAAGCGTTGCGTATTATGATGCGATCAACGATAGTTTCATCGGTTTTAGTACATGTTACATTTAATCAATGAACAAAATATTTTATGTACGAGGAACTGTTTATTCGCGTTGAATATACAGTAAAGAAATTAGTAATATTATGCAGTTCTATATCACCCTCTCAATCTGATAACTTTTCTTTTAACAAGTTACAAGTGATATACGGACCAAACGCAGTCCTCTAGCTGCGTTGTGACATATAAAGTTGCATCGTAAAGTGTTTCGATGTTTCGAATATATTATATATCCTAATATCTCTAGATGAGTGTCAGATTTATTGAAGACTTTCAATTAATTTATGTTTAGATTCCCTTAAAAATTATTTTACTATAATATTCTATACAAAGTAATAACTGTATATGACCATGAATGGTAACAAGGATTGTAATGAGCATAGCAAATATATTATGTTTTATTTTATAATAAAAGGCGAAATGCACCGAACAGAGGGCCTTTATTCTGTTAATATATGAATAAATATATGAAAAAAAATTGCACAAATTTTGATTCTTTTGTTTCATCCTTCCCTAGAAGGATTGGAGTAAGAGGGAATTCCCACTAAAATAGCGATTAGTTAAATACTGTATTCTAAGTTCCTAGTGAGAATTCCCTATTAATCAATGGCAGCCACTAAGCAAGTCGATGCGAGATGGTTTATTACAACGGTGTGAACACGACGTGTCGCGACGCGACGCCGTGATTTTTCGTCTGACGAAACACGACTCCGAAAATATGTTCAAGGCGAGGTAACTGTTTCGGTCGTCGTGTTTTGCGGTTGACACGTCCACAGGAACCGATAATTTACACCCCTCCCACCTTAAGAACTGTCGATCGCGGCACCAATTAAGCGTAAAATTGACAAACATTTTGGCCGACTCATTCCTTCGAAGGTTTCGGTTTTCTGGCAATGTAACATATTGCAGAACCTGCGAGAGGAGTGTCCGAGTAACGTGATCTCATAGACACACCCTATTTGGTCCTTTCAACAGCCTATCTACATACCTTGTTCAGGACTATCGCTGTCCTTGCTCTCAAATCCATGCAATTCGTCGTTTCATTTTACCCTTTGACTGTATTTATTATTCGATGAATGTACAGTTAGGAGCGAAACTAATCACTTTGAAAAGTTGACAATTTGAAAAGTTTTTTTTATTATACAGAGCGTCCCAGTTAGGGTCTCCACATCTCCAAATCTCCGATAAAGTTATTGCTCCACCCTGTACGTGTCAACATATAGGAGTTGATAAATAATAAAATCAGTTTTTCAGACTAAAGTACGCGATTAGTTCAGATTTCTTCTTGCTATATCTCGATTATGAAGAAAATAGAGAGCCATATCGTAAATCAACCGCGACGTGCATAAATAAATTTTAATTGGAACTTGTCCGTCGAGGGATTGTTACCACCGACGTTCCCAGATCTGATTTATACGGAAGAATCGCGACTTGGCTACCAGTGGCTTTGGAAACAAATTTCTGCAGTGTATTTTGCTGGTTCGCATAATCCCAGCCAAGTTCCACATCTGTCAACAGTTCTTGTATCACTCTGTCGTCCCTATCAACGTCGCGTTAATACACGCGATTATGCGTCTAATAATCTCATTAAACTTATGATCGATTGTGCGCCCGCCGACCGTAATGGCGTAATGGAACCGACAAATTTCGCGCGTCGTACGATTTTATATGAATCCATAGGAATTCGAGCGATGCTGACAGTCAAATGAGCTCTAATAATATACCGATGCAAAGCTGGCTAAAATATTATTGGAAATAGCAAGCGTCCAAAAAGTCTATTTTGTAGCTACGAAGACAGCGTATTTTATTCTGTGCAATGTGTTTTTGAAATAGTATTTTTTTTTTTTTTTTTTTTTTTTTTTTGGAGGATACTGAAAATAGTAAGAGATTATTTTATTTGTATTGATTTATTTCTAATTTATTCGCATCGTTGCAATACTTGACCAGCGATGATTCGTGAATTCATGGTAGTAAGAAATACATGGGCTAACCGTGGCCATTGGAAAAAAGTAAACATCGCTTAAACTTAAATAATCCAATTAAAAAGGAAAATAAGTACATTTAATTTTCTTTAACGTTCATCTGGTGTATTTCCGTCATCCTGTGCGTGCGCAATACTGAAATTTCACTCTCGTCGCGCCAAAAGAAGTATTTTTGCTGAAATTTATCGCGGAGACACGAACGAAGCCAGAAAGGAAGAAATAAAGAATGTAACAAAAAATCATTTCTTTTGGTACCTACGCACTTCTGAAATCGGCCATTTGGATTCGAGGATTAAGAGACTTGGTAGCGTTCGATCTTGGTCGGAGACGTTACCATGTCTTCTCATAACTTCAAAATAAAAATTCACTTAAAATTCGTACCTCAAGAGGTTAACTAAACGAGAAAAATTGATCGTCCTCGTCAAGTTGGAATCGAGCGTGGAAAGATCAGGTAGTCGGCATAAATTCGATTCGTTTCGGCGCGCAACAGCTGGAAAGTTGATTTGAAATCTCGGGCTGGTTGCTGTCGAGGCAATTATTAAATAGCGTTTCATGGCGGTGACAGAAATTTATGGATACCTCATTACCACCGTTTAGTGACTGCTACCGTCGCGCTGTACGAGATCATTAGGGGCTCCTTCGAGAAACGCACGTGCTTGCCAAGGACCGCCCAAACTCTCGCGTCATTGGCCATCCAAGGGATGACGTCGTGAGCACGTGGCTTTTCGATACCGCCTCGGGAACCGAAGAATTTCACTTGGCTGCCAAAAAAGAATATTGTTGGACATCGCGGGCAACTCTGACAAACAGTCGCTGGTTTCGACTCTATTCCCGCGAACGGATCGCTGAGTACGCGTATATCGATCCCCTGAATCGATCTTTAATCATCGATCTTCGAATCCTCTATCCTTTCGATGGATGATCAGCACTTTGACCCAGGACATCAGTGTTTTGTGACACGACAGTGATAATCACGGAATGTGAAGTGAATCGTAGATACTCGAGGCACTGCTATCGTAGACAAGTTGATAAACTCATTTCACTAATTGAGCTTGTTGAATGTGAAGAGATACATCGCGTTGGAGATATCTAATCGTTCGATCGCCGCATCGATCGGACTACCGAATGGTGATAAGATCTAGACGACAGTGAAACACCGTTGGGGAATTTAGGATGTCAGAGGAACGCGCAAAAACGTATGATCTGACCAAAGAATCGCGCGAGTTGGCCGAGGGCACGAAACTATGCTCGTTCAGTATCGAGAGCCTTTTAGCGCCGAGCAAGAAAAGCGCGGATAACGAGGCCCGTTCGCCCGCTCGGACTGAAATTTATTTACACGGACACGAATGTGAGTACCCGCGTTAGACACAATGTATCAAAGATGATATGTTGTGTAAATAACCAGTACGAACAACGAATAAAAGATGAATTATTCTCTCATCATTCGTTTAACGAATATTTCAATTGGAGTCGTAGCACTGATTCTACAGTAAACTTAAATTTCTGTTTAATTATATTTTTTTTAAATTGCCCTCATAGAAATTCTGTCTTTACGTTTCAACAATTTTATTATAATATGATCTAAATGGTGTCGAATGCTTTCATTTTAATTTCCTTGTTTGCTTCTATTTAAATTAGAATTTGAATTCCGGTAATGTTTCCCGAGTAAAGACTGTTCTTTTAGAAATTGTCCTTATGTTTCAAGAATTTTAATATCATCAAGATGGTATCTAATTCTTCCATTTCAATTTATTGTTTGCTTCGTAATGTAAATTTTTTATTTTAAGTTTTTCTTACGACGTTAATTATTTTAACAGCGAACGACTCTGAGGGATGGAAGCTGGTAGCGCCAGATTCCTCCATGTCCATGGCAGAGGAAGCCGAATTCGACGATTCTGATATCGTTTGTTCCACCACTCCTGAACCAGAGATGTGTTATGGTGAGTTTAATTGCATTTCTTAATACTATTTACTCTGAATAATAGAGCAATGACAAAAATAACAGATTAACGTTCGCAAAATACGTACGAGAAGGAAGTTCGCAAAGTATTTCTTTTGTTTGGAGAAAATGTCAGAACGTTGTAACAAATAAAACGAAATAACATTTATTATGTTACTAAATTTACCGACAGACATTGTTTTGCAACGCCAGACTGCAGAACTTTGACATTATACAAGTGTCTCGCACTTGTGTTTGTCTTTTCAAGTTACTTAGTTAATTATGGTACATCAGGTGAACAGACAAAGACAGAAGCTTGGAATTTGTTTGAATTCCTCAACGACAAATAATAAAATTATTTATTATTTATTGAACATTCTCTGCAATATCTTTATGTTTCGTTAAACCATTTGATTAATGACTGTAGGGACACTTTTTTGCAAAAATTGTTCTGTTGACATATGTGCAAATACATATTTAAATCGAGCGTGATTTCAATTTATTCACGATCGATGGTATTATGAATTGTTTTTTAACGGAAATAATAATTCACCAATAATATTCAGAAGGGCACTATTACAGACTTCGATCTGCAAAGAGCGTCGTCTATTGCTAAACGCGCCATTTTGTCTCTCAGAAACGAATCACTTGACTCGCATGAACCGAATACTGATTCCTCAGAATAGCGTATAAATCGAATCAAGGCTCTTTGTATGAAAAACGGAGTAAAAAACAAAAAAAGAAGAAATAGAACGAAATAATTTAGGCAGTTATGTAATTAAATTAATTTATTTCAATATAAAATGAAACGAAATGAATTGAAATGAAAAGCAAAAAAGTATCAGTCCAACGATATTTTACTCAGAAAATTGAACTGAAACTTAAGATGGATGTTTATTAAAAATCGTAAACTTCTACAACGTCACGACGATCGGGACCCTGTAAATGTAAACAAATATGATTATTATCGCTTCACGAATGACTCTTAAGAGATTAGATGCGTTATCATGTTCAATCACTCACTTTCCACTAAATTATCTTTGTAATACATGTTACAGTAGATGCTCGAAATGGTGGCTTTGCTCAGCGGTACATTGTCTGAAGTACTAACTATTCTGTTCTTCTTGTCCTCTCGTGTTGTTACTTATTTGTTATAAACAACTCGTTTAAATGTCCCCAAAAAAAAATGTTTGTTTACATTTATAGATTCTCGCACGTCATTCCGTTCAATGTTTCCAGTAAAATATCATTTCAAGATCATATTATTAATTACACACATTTGAACGTGTTTTAATGCTAGCTATATAATACAATAGGAAAAGATATATATATATTTTTCAGTGAAAAAAAATCGATGACCATGAAATCCCCCAAATGAAAATAGAAGTTGGAAAAGAATGATTGTTGCAGCATATAACTAAAAGAAATATTCAGGTAGCCTGTGTTAGATGTGTCACCCTGTATATAAAAATTCAACTGCCTTTGAATTCTTCCTAAAAATCGCCACGAGTTTCCTAGACAACCCAATATTTTCATTTAAACGCGGAAAACTGAAGAACACTTTGAGCTTTTCGATGAAAGCGTTTGTTACATAGTGCGTAATAAAGAGTAATCGTCTCCACTTAATTCGCATATTGTTACCAACGCGGACGTGAACGGGAGTAATTGTTACAGAGTCGAGGCCGATTGCCTCGCGTGGCAACGAATTGGTAAGTTCGCGCGGAGGACCGTTGGCCCCGTGAGTTTGATCCATTACTTCCTGTAGGGTCCACGCCCACTCAATGTTCCTGCTTCTCGTCCACTATTTATCTGTCTCCTGCTAATTCTGCCATGGAAATGCAGCAAAATGTGCGTTCGCGCGGTACCTAGCCACAGAATGAAAAAAGACACCAAGGACCGCGAACCATTCTGCGACATCTTGCGCGTTGGTACATTTGATTTCGCTTCTTTGAACGCAACGGAGGATCGTTAACTCTTCGCGGCACGAGAATTTTAGTAGCTTTACGAGCATTCGCACAGAGGGAGGGTCAAAGAAAGTCCGACTAGCGAACTGGGTTCTTTTTATTAACGGAACAAATATTTTCCGAGCCAATTTCTTCTGATATGTTGGAGCAATCTGTACTAATATTACAAAGAGGTAAAGTTTGTTTGTTTGTATGTTATGGGTAGTTCCCGGAACTATCGACCCGTTTTTAACAAAGTTTTCAGTAATAGAAAGCTACACTATCCCTGAGTAACATAGGCTATGTTTCATTTTGATAAAACTACGTTTTCAATTTGAAATCTGAAAATTTGTAAATCAAGTCGGAAGAAAAGCGTTGCTTGGCTATTTTATCGCCGACCGCGATTAGTAAACTGAAATCTTTTTTGACAAGGATGCCACTAGACTTTTCATTCACGACCGTAGGATATTAGAATTAGGTAAAGTCATTTAATTGTAAATGACTTTATTCATTTTGTCTGTAATAGAGTACTTTTCGTGATTGGAATATTGTTTTTGACATGAAAGTTACACGAGCCCATAGGGGGTTAACGTAGTTGTTTCGAAAAGTACAGTCTTAATGCTCTCTTACACGTGTCTATAATAAATCAATACGTTTATCTACACATACATTCGCAATAATCGAGAAATGATTGTGACAACAATGCTGACTGCTACTGTACAACTTCCGATTGTAAACCGTAACCCCCTCATCTCGGACGAGCCCCCATTTTTTTGTAGAAATCTCTACGAAAATAAGCCAAGGCAGGGAAATTCGAACCCACGATATTCGGATCCATAGTCGACAGCTTTTCCTACACGACTAATCCAGCACCTTTACGATTCGTGTTCATGTTTGACTCTTTATTCTTGGGTATGGGGAGGCGCGTTATCACAATATCGAAACAATTTCGCGAGCTAATCCACGAATGCTCTAGAATCTAAAAAAAACCATCGAATCGGCTACAATTACAGCAAGAGAGGAAAACAAAATCGAAAGTTGATGAAATTAGCACGTTGCAAGATGAACGTTATAACACGCTGACAGTTTGCGATTTACGAACAGCTCGATAGTCGTTTGCTGATCGACGACTCCGCGCAACTTAATTTCATTCCGCTGGGATAGCCGAGTTCCTCGACGACTAATTTCCACCAAGGATCCCTGGCTCGCGTGATTTACACGGCATAATGGTCGCCGCGATAAATTCGAGATCTAAGGAAAGGACAATTCTCGTTTGCGCCGTGCGCTCGGACTTGAGATATGTGGGACGTCCCGTCCAACTACAAAGCCGTCAACGCGACTCGTAAATCTTTGAGAGAAGCAACGTCGCGAGCGAGTAAACCCCTCCAAAAGATGCTGTCCTTTTAAACGAATTCAGCTTTCCGACTTCTAATGAGCTGTTTGTTTTCTGCATGATTCTGTTTATCGCGCGCGGACCATAAATTCGCGCACCTTCGCGCACGCTGAGTGAATGAAAATAATATCTTGACGCGCGTTGAACGTTCTCTTCCACGCAGCAATTGTTCATATTAATCTTCGTCAACTCCTCTGAAAAACACATTCTGCATGTCCTTTGAGTTACTTATGGTTTAGTAAACATAATTCAATGGAAAAATGATAATTGCTTATGTGCAGTGCAGTATAAAATGGCAGTTCACGTAATGTTTTTGTTTATATGTAGGTCTGTGCCTGTATAGTCAATCATTTATTATTTTAGTTTAAGTAGAAATCTTTAATCGTTATTTTGTTACTATATGTTAAATTATCAACCTTCTAGGTTCTCGACCTGGTCTCCGTTATAATGAATCTACAGGGTGTCCCAGAACTCCTCTAAGAACTGGGAATCCTTTGCAAACAAGTCGGTGAAGGCTTCGTTTTTGAATTATTAACGAAAATCATCGATCAAACACAGACCCCGATTAGCGCGCGCTTAGCCGCGAGAGCTTATGCTAAGTAGCGGCGTAGCCAGCTGAACGCGCGCAACTCGGGCGCTGTGATTGGTCAATGATTTTCGTTAATAATTCAAAAACGAATCACCATCTGATATTTCTCCAAAGGAAATTGTGGTTCAGAATCGTTTCAGCTACCCTTTATTTCCGGTTCTTACATTAATTCTGAGACATTCTGTATACATGAAGATTGATAATGTTAGATTTTTCATTGAAATCTATTAGAGAAATTAATCTCGTGAGAAAGGAGATACTGTTTCTTCCAGTGTGTACTTCGAATGGGTCACCCTGTTTATGTAAAAGACGACAGGGCCACGCACACATGCGAATTTAGTCACTCTGTACGTTTTCGTTTAGTGGTTCAGTTCCCTTCAGAAAGAGCTTGAGGAAGGAATGCCAATTCCAACACAATAAAAGTACTTAAAAGTAAATTGCAACCTAAGGATTATTTATCGGACCTCATTTCCTAACAGATAGCCATTAATTGTTGCTTATTATTATAATTGCAGTAATTATAGAAGGATAACAATATGCAAAATTTGTTCGTATGAGTGCATTGGAATGGCCATCATTGGTTACGATAAACAGCCTGCATTCTCATTGTACTAATAAATCATACCAGTAGTCATCTAAACTCAACTGTAACCAATTCCATAGCGTTCGATTTTGCGCGCAACATCGACCTCCTCGATGACAGGAATCTTGCAACATCGTGTTCCGCGATGCGAAGCAGTCCAGCTTCTTCTTTTTACAATCAGTTGCGGATGTTGAAATATCGACACCGTTCCGTTCAAGTCTCTTCTTAACCGCGTCGGTGCTACTGCACAGCTAATTCTAGATCATAACAAAGGGCCTGGCCATCTGTCTGTCTCCGTGGCACGGGTTGACCAATCGGCACGGCTCGCGCGCGAATTAATTGTCCCGACGGTGTTGGCCCGCGCGCGTGAAATCGTGCAACGCCGAACGAATGAAAATTAGCCACGGTTTATCGCGCATTTCTACTCGTGCTCCCGCCATTCATCACCGAATAATTAGGAGACAAGTTCACCGCGGCTCGCGGCAATTAGGTAAACTAGAGGGCGTGGTGTTCTATTTCGGCGACGCTTCGCGGCGCTCCTTCAGCGACGGGCGTGCTTCACGGACGTCTCGGCGTCCTTTTTGTCCCGTCCGCGTCCTCTTCTTCCACGGTCTAACCCTTTCTTCTTCTTTCTTCGCGGAGCTCGTCCGTCAATGCAACCGAGTCAGAAAGTCGACGACAAATGAGCCGTGCGAGGGAACGGGAGGGGGGGGGGGTGGCGGCACCCTCCGAAAATATTTTCCTCTTCCGTTCGTTCGGACGCTTCCGGCAAAGAATTTAACGTCGATGCCCCGAGGAACTCGGACTTATTTTCTTTCTTTTGTCTTGGGAAAAAATACTGGATAAGAATTCACAATTTAAAGCGGTGAAAATGCACACCTCTGGATAAACAGACAGCACGAGTGTGCTATCATTGAGTGTTTGAGAATTGATTCGAAATTGTCTCTTATAGAATGGTATCCAACATTTTTCGATAATCACAGTTGTACTTATCGAATTATACTGTAATTTAATTGTCTACCCAATTCGGTTACCCAATCGTACTTCAATTATGTATTAATTCAATTAAATAACTCAAACTTTTCAAATAATTCATTCGCTAGTTACTGTTATCATGAATCTAATTACGTTCATGATAACAGTAATCAGCAATTGAAGTAATTAAAAAGTTTGAATTATCCAATTCAATTAGATAATTCAACGTTATCAATTGTATTTTATAGAAAATGATTAATATTGCAAAATTGTCTGTCCGGTAGACAATTTTCTGCAATGAAATATAGCATGGTCTTAAAATTGCAAAATCCATTAACTGTTTAGCCGTCACCCTTATGGAGCCACTTTGTATAATATGTGAGATATATGATGATAGTTCCCAGTTCATCAACGTGAACGAGTTCAGAACGACGATCAGCGTAGCTGAACCGTTTGGAACCTAGCGAATTCCAAATGATTCATGAGTTCTGACTTGATGAACACTAACTTATTTGTTTCATACTAAAAGTAAATCAATAAATATCATTTCACTTTGTCAACAAACTTTTTGAAAAATCTTAAATTATAGTGTCAGAGCACTTGATGTAGTCATAACTTTTTATATTTGTAATAACTTTCATGAACACTATAGATTAACACCATTAAACGACAAACATTATCACATCGCATTTCTCAACTTTTTGTTTTATGGAGTTCATCGATTTGTGAAATAAACGGCTCAAATAACTCTGTACAATAATAGTGTAATTTACGTACTTGCAAATTCAATGTTATTCCATATAAATTTAATGGTCATATAAATGTTCATATGACACATATTCTTCATTTTTCCAAATAAATTTTCACCCCTCACTGACGATAAGGTTCAGCCACCATTGTTCCACACTACTGTTTACGCAATGAAACGTAAACATGTGCAACACGTAGAACAATTTGATATTATTATCCGTGCACACTGATATTCAGGCGTCGGAGTTGGAATCTTTCCTGAATTTACACGTGCAGAAACGTGCGCGTCGCGCAACGTGGTGCCCACGTCGAGTGAAATAGAGGCGGTACGGTTTTAGCCGACGACGTCGGTAGTACGGGCTGAAGAGAAGACTGAAGAGAAAAACGCGCGAGAAACGCGACAATTACGTCGCCATCTGACAATTAGTAGCCGGTAAATGACACTACGCGGTCCCCGTAACCGCGACGCAAATACTTTTTTAGAGATATTTATTGCCCCCTCAAACCCGAGGTTCGCTCGATTCGATCTATTCTCCTTCTGAACAAGGAAGCTTCAACCATCGATTTATTGGTGCTAAAATCAGCGATGCTTTCTTCAGGTTTGACGGATAGTTCTACAGTTGGGGACGAAACTCAACATTTTTTATTTTATTTAGATATGTACAGTGCTATGCAAAAGTATTTTAGTATAGGCGTCAATTTTGAGTTCTTTTTGAGGATTTTTTCTTAATCTATAAGAAAGTTTTATAAAGTCTTTTGTACGCAGATTTATTTAGTTTTTAAGAGCATGCACAGTTTTTTTGCAAGTAAAAATAATCAAAATTAATGTGTCCAGCTTACGCCTTCTAAAGAAGAATAGGTTGTATTTATGAATGCTTAACTAATTAAGAGTTAATTATACGACCTACGAATAAACAAAAGAATGGAACAAATGATTAATAATTATTTGATAGAGGACAGAGACTCGTACACGCATGCCTTAAAACTAACTTAGAAACATGTCTTAAAACTAACCAAACCAAACTAAGGCTCGTTGAAAACATAGAGACAATAATTCGTGAAACATTTATGTCACAGCAAAATCGTATTCCCCATCATTGTTTAAATAATAAGTATTGTTAGCAATTAATGTAACTATTGACAGAAATTAATATTTAGTTGGTGCAATCGATAGATATTAGAATATTGACAAATTTCTCACGATTAATGTCTCGAATGGATACTTATTCTGAACCGTGATTGTTATTAATGTTTAATCGAACACTGAATGGTACTCATATAATGATGAGAGTATTAAACATTATCTTAATAACAGATAACAAAGCATTAGTTGTCTTAGCAAAATGCCTATTAATAGGCTGTCAGTCGGTGAAGTGTTTTCAATTGAAATTGTTCTCACGAAGGTGATACAACCATACGGCTATTCGGATTTCGTGAAAGGTATAATATAGCTTCGCTGTGTCCTTTTTTTTTTCTCCCCGAAGTGGCAGACATATATCCAGTAGTCGAGGCGTCGCGGTGCCACGGTTTTTCGTCGGATGAGTAATGGGCAGATAATTAGAAGATGATCCCCGGAGCTTAGAGCGCGGTTCTGTTACCAGTCGACTAAAAGAGACCCCGAAGACATTCCTCACCAGCGAGGCGCGATGTCTTGTACGCTCCGCTTGTACACTCGGGATAAATATAAATATAAACAACTTCGACGGGGCAAAAAGGTTCCGAGATTGATGAGGAGGAAAATTTCACGGGGGTAATTGGGCCTCGTCGGGTCTGAACGAGTCGTTGTTCGGATCGATCTCGTTTAAAAGCAATTAAAAACGAAAAAAAAACAGTCGCGCTACGGACGTACGAAACACGCTCGCGATTAATGACTGCCCCTTCCTTTAGATATCCCTCGATTTAAACGGTTAGAAGAATTTTTTTTCTATGCTAAGTTGATAAGTCCAAAACAAAATTTGTTAACGAATTTACAATTTAAAACTATTGGGACAAAGTAAAATTGTATAAAAACAGTTTTACAAAGATTTTAAGGCTCGATTACGTTAATCTCTTGTGACACACGTGTTATTACTGCTCATTTAATTACAACGCGGTTTCATTACATTTAATCGCGGAAAAGTAACATGACCGCAATTATTTGATAATTACATGATAAGAAAACGTTTTTTAATCATCAGTCCCCAGTGGACGCGTAACAAGAGTTATCTCTAGACTGTGGATTTTATACATTTATGGTGTACACGAACATGTAAAGAAAACATGAATATTGATCCAACATTATCTATATATAGATATATAATTATCAATAAATAGATAGATAATATACTTTACATTGTAAATGTTACAAATTTTAATTAAAATACACTATAGTGGGCTAAATTGATATGCTCGTAGATTGGAGACCCCTTATTAATAGCAATGTTTCTCAACCTTTTTCGTCTAAAAGCCCACACTGTAAAATCCGTTACTCAATTCGCCACTTTTAATTTTTAAAAGCTTACAAAATACGTAACTCTTACAACGTGTCTCTTACAAAATAGTATTTCACACGGGTGAAACCGCGTGGTGCAGCTAGTATATTATAAATGTATTACGTCGAAACTCTAGTTACCACTTTTCCAAACGATGTTGCAGAAGCATGCACCAGCAGTAGCGGTGCCAACTCCATGACAGGTGCGGACAGAGACGTTCAAGAAAAAACCGTCGGCGCGATTAGCGATGACGAAAGGAAGAAGAGACCCCGCACGGCGTTCACCGCCGCACAAATTAAGTCGTTGGAAGCGGAATTCGAGAGGAACAAATACCTGAGCGTAGCGAAAAGGTTGCAGCTCAGCAAGAATTTGAAACTTACTGAAACTCAGGTATACATTATGTTATGTACTCATCGTTATTCATCCTCGACGCGAAAGTGATACTCTGACACTGTGATACGATGGTTAAAGATGGTTAAAGATGTTCAGGATGGGGAAGTTGAAAATTGAAGGGAAACACATTCTGCGGAAGTCGTCTCGACCAAGGTGCACTCGACACAATAAATTTTGATAACGTTCGCTGCGACTTCCGCAGGCTTCGCCACCTGAAATAGTTTAAGTTCCATGTACCCCGAGTTCCTCAAAATCAACTGCCTTCTGAATTATGATTTCTGGGGGCCACCATATGTCTAGGCGCCACATCGTGGCGCCATGAGGCGAAGGTCGCCCTTTAGGACCAATTAGCACTTGTACGCCCTTTCTTCTCGCTGCCAGAGAAAGAATAACAGAACAAAACGATTTCTTCTTTCTTTCACAGAAATCTTTAATTAACTCTCGGCTCGGAGATGGGCAAAATTAATTATCTGTGTCATTTGTCAAAAATGTTATAATAATTTTGTGAAGAAAATTCTTGTTTCTACCTGACAAAAAGGAGCTCGACGTTAAAGGGTTAATGTTACAACAGGAGAGAAAACTTTGCCATGTAAAATTTGCTTTCCTACTAATTTACAAGTATTTAGAAATAATAGAACTGAGACATAAAACATGAATAAATATTTGTGCCGAATTTCGTCAAAATCAGCAGCAGACTTGTTTCCTCCCTTCCAACAAGCTCTTTCCGAGCGAACCACGAAATACTACCCATGCTCGAAGCCACAAAGCTCCCAACAAGAATGTCAGTAGCTGCCACTAACAATAAGTTCTAGCCACGGTCTAACTGATGTTTTCATGTATTCGAACGATTTCGTCGCGGTTCTAATATTACCCTGGCACTCGGTACTCGTAATTTCGGGAAAGATTTAAGTAATCTCCGCGATAACTGCACAAAGTTGTAAAATAGATTAAAGCAGTTGCATAAGTCGACCGTTTACTTTGTAGCAAGTGTCGCGGCTGTTCTGTTGGCCGCGCTTTAAATTAATTAATTTATTATAACGCCCCAGATATTTCTCTGGTCCGTTCGGTCGCGAGCGACGGGATAAGCAACGTAGCCAACGGTAGTAATTGCCAGAACGGTGGAAATATCGCGATGGGCACCGCGAACGAGACAGATAATTATCTTTCGCGATCATGGCAAAAGGGAGGACGATCAGACGACGGATCAGAGGGAAGAAGGAGACGTGTCGTGCCGCAGACATAACTGTCACAATATTTCTCGTAGTTAACGAGCCAGCTCCCGGGAGTCCCCTTCTTCTCTTGGTGTTTCTCCGATCCAGCATGCCACAAGAACCAAACGTCCCGGACGACGGATGCTCCGAGGCGACGGCCCGAAGAGGCGTCGATTTTTTAATTAGGATATATTACCGCTCGAATGCTCCGAATCCGGCTTGCTCTCAGAAAATTCCGAGATCATTTTTTCCTCGTGGTCGCCTCACGTGTCCGTTCGTTTTCGCTTTTCACCAGGCAGTTGGGCTCGATCCACTTCCATACGCAGCGAAAACTGTGCTGAATGATTCCTCGAGCAACATTAGTCAAGGTGGCGTCGAGAGCACATCAAATTCACCCGAGATCTCTTATTGAACTAATTTACCTGAACCTGACTGTAGTTTGATCTCGTGTTTCTTTATTTACAAAATTGATCGCATGGTAGGGTCAATTTTTCTTGGGGTATGGCTTTCTTAGAACAGTTGACACTCGAGTAGTCATATCATACATCTCCGCTCATTGGACACTTACGAACATTCACCACCTACAATCAAACACTTTGAACTTCGACTAATCGGTCCACAATATCCTTTTCCAATCTTCTATTGACTAATTCCGATGATATTTAACTCACTGAAGTTTTTTAACTTTATTTTTAAGCCTTACATGCGAGGGTCGTGGTCCACGACTCGCGCGCTTCGTTTGTGCCTCACGAAAAAGAGAAGGGCGAAGGGTGAACGATAACCGCGTGATGGTCGATTTGAGGGCACTTGAATCCATTGAAAAAATTATTCGCGAAACATTAATATTACAGCAAAATTCCACACAATTGCATCAACAATCAACAATTGTTAATAATGGATTTAGCTACTGTCGGAAATTAATTTTTAATTATTTAATCAATAGATATATAAATATAAAAAATTCCTCACGATGCATGTTTTCAATGAATACTTATTTTAAATCGTGATTCTTATTAATATTTGAGGGAATAGTATATTTTACTGTTTACATTATAAAGGCTTAACCAATTCAAGGATATTCATTTTAATTGCATCTCGAAGTTTCAGATTGTTATTACTATTAAGCATTACATTGATTTACTTGCATCGTTTGTTCGAAAAAAATTCTCGAAAAATGCCCTCTTAAGATGTGAATAACCATTTCTTGATTTTTGAGAAATCTTGTGTTCACGAAGTGTTTCAAACATTTTTTATGCATTATATGTCGTTAGAATTTTAAAAATAATTTAATGTTGCTTATACGACCCTTAGAAGTATTGATTTGCAAAGTTAACTATTTAATTATACTAGGAATAGCTTTGTACAACCGCCTCGGTAGCGCAGTAGGCAGCGCGTAAGTCTCATAATCTTAAGGTCGTGAGTTCGATCCTCACCCGGGGCAATTTTTTTGTTTCGATATTCCGAAATACAAAGAAATATCTAACTCATACTTTATCTCACTTTACGATTATTTGTAAAATTTTCTTTTTATTTAAGTACATCTTCCATAACCACTGTAACGTTTTACGTCTAAGGTCTTGCATCTTTTAACAAGTAAGGGTATAGCGCGAAATCCTTAAATTGCATTCGGAACAATTGCCAACTGAATGGAAAACTTAATGAAAAACTAAATAAAATATTAAACTGTCGGACTATGAGTAATTTCATCTTTTTGAGGTGGTTTAAAAATATTTTACCATGCATAAAAGCTAAGTAAACGACGAAAGAGTTTTTAACTTACCTAACACCTAAAGAGTTAAGGTTTTCTAGTTATGTACATAATGCAAGAAGTATATGTATAATACTACTCGCTATCATCGAATTCACCTTTCAGGAATCTCCTGTATTTTTTGTCCACAGATTAAAATTTGGTTTCAAAACAGGCGCACCAAGTGGAAAAGAAAGTATACAAATGATGTGGAGTTACTGGCGCAACAGTACTATTCGAGTTTGGGGATTCCCACACCGCGACCAATTTTTGTCGGGGATCGTTTATGGTGATTATACTTTTCTCTTTTTATATTTATGAATATTTCATTTATTTTAAACTGCGAAAATACTGTACAGGTTCTTTAACTACCCAGGACAACCACAACCAACGACACCGATTTTTCCTCAGCATTTAACAACAGTCCCTCTACCACCTGCCTTGCCTATCGTGCAACCATTGCCAAGCAACCTGTCGATGGGACAACAGTCGATTTTTCAAAATATACCCACCAACAATCCGACGTATCATTTGAGTCAAAGGTTGGACTTCAGGCATCAAGACTCGTGAATACATAAATGATACACATTATTGCAGTGCATTTATCAGAGACAACAGTTGCGCAACTGTTGAGCAATACTCTTAGATTCTTTGCTTTGATTCGTCCATTCGAAGTGACTAGACGAATCAAAGCAGAAAATCACTCAACAATTGTCTCTGATGAATGCACACAATGAGTAACTTTAAAAACTTTAGCTTTAGCGTTTTGCACTGTAAATTTAAGTCTTTTCAAGCATTAAAAATTGAAGTTAATTACCAAAGTCTGTACCGCATGAGCGGATAATGGAACTGAAACCATGGGAACATGTGTTTAGTAGGTCAAACTCTGAGGAATCGAGTATTTGTGATTAAGTAATAATAAGGACTTAGGAAAGATGTAAAAATCGTATGAATTTCGCTATTTGCATTTATTATAAGGAGACAGTATATATTCCTGTTTCGAATGGACAAAGTGAAGAAATACATTTTTATTTCCAAGTAATATACAAATAGTATTAATAAATAATATTGTAATTTTTCTGATGTATACTATTATAAAAAGTAAAGTAATAAATTATTTATTATACCTATACAATAAATTGAGGTATAAAAATGATAACGAGAGTTCTTATAGTTTTATTTATTAAAGGGCAGAAGGAGACAAGGTTTTACTGACTCCTAGAATCTTATCATCGCTTGCTGCTTGGTCCTGCATAATTTTGGCATATTTCTCATTGTCTTGCAAATCTTCTTCATCCAGCATTTCCTGCATCCTTTGTTTATATCTGTAATTATGTACTGTTTAAAATCTAGTCAAATTGGAAAATATCTTATTCGTATAAAGATGAGATATTAATTAACAGGTTATCTTAAATTGTTATATTTACATTTCACTGTCGGGATTATTTTCTTGATTTCTACATTTTTCTAATTTCTTTTCTAAAACTCTTACCACATCCCTCGAAGGAGATTCTACACATTTAGCCATAGACCTTATCTCTGTAATATTCATGTAATATCACAGTTATGCTGTATTGTAAAAGTATTTGTAAGTACTATAAGTTCAAAGAACAATATATTTACTTCTTACTGCTTCAATTATACACCCTAAGTGTTCTTTTGAAAACAATATATCGGTCACATAATTATCTAGATTAGCAGATGCTCTAGATGCAGCATGCAGTGTTGCAGCTAATGCAACTTGACTTGGAGCATAAAGTAAAACGCTGTCCGTCAAGAAGACTCTTTCTAGAAATTCGTCTATGTATGGCCTCAACCTTTCTGGATTTTCCAAAGAAGAATACCTTGTCTGAAAGTATACAAGCTACATCTGTCAAGGCATAACATTCATTCTTGTATAATGGCTTTGACGATATACCTTGATATCTATCATTAATCCCTCTACGGGTCTAAATGGATTATGTACTGTTAAATTATAGTTCAACTGTTGCATAAGAAGTAATTCATTATTAAGTATAATGTCAGATGCCTTTTCTCTATCACCTTTAATGTTGGCAACAAACTGATATATAGATACATTGAATTCCTCTACCTAAAATATTAAACCTTGTTATGAAATAAATTTGCAAACAAGTTATAAAGTAAAAGGATAATTACTTTACAGGCCAAGTAAACACACGTGACTAAAATCTCTTTTGGATGATAGTCCATAACACTGTTCCTGAGGTAGAACCTTTTAAAGTAATGTAATGCTGTTGCTATAGTAGCTCGGGGCATTGGAGGACTGAAGCGACGACAGAAATCTCTCAATTGCGATTCATAAAATCGAAGTAACGTACGTTCCTCTGTGTGAGATAGAAAATACTCCTCCCTTTCTTCTGGCTTTGCAAAGTATATTTAAAATGAATATTTTGCATAGAGTAATACAACTAATTTGTTAATAGTCAATCAGTGTTGATTAAACAGTAGGATTAAGTTTCTGTAGCATGTAAGCAAGCAACATTTTGTAAAGGTGGTTTTTGAGAAAAAAATGTTTATATTTACAGATAGATTTATATGATATAGCGATACAAAATTGTAAATATTAGGCTGGTGAAATTGAGCACGTTTATATTAAAATAAAGACATGAAAGTAAACAAAATGAAAAATGACATAGAAAAATAACAATACAAAACAGCATGCGCATGTATCAACAAGTTCGATCAAAAACATTTCAATTTATCGATGGAGGTAAAAACATACATAACCTGCAATAAGATTACGAACATGTTTCATCGAAAATTCGAATTCTATCTTAAATTACACGATACATAATGAGAGATTCGTTCGAAAATTAATACAATTAACAAAAATAACGAGTTAACATCTAAAATAAAACGACTTACTGTCATATTTGCTCCATGCCTCTCGATGAACTCTGCATTTGTTTTCTCTCGCAGCACTGTTAAATCATTCTCGTCGCTAAATATCCAATATTTTTTCTGCGAACTTTGCGGGAACATCGTCGTTCCGTTTCTTGACCGGTGGTTTAAAAAATCCGTAACACAATCACATTCGTAAACAACGTACCGCAAGTCAATGCGGTAAAAACAGGTGATGCTCATTCATGACGGTATACAAATATCAAGTTTGAGCTGGAAAGGTGTAGAGGGCAGCATTAGGTTCAGTCGACTAAGATTTCAAGTCGATATAGTAGCGATCTGCAGAATGAAAGGGTTAACAGTTGGGTTGCAGGAAAAGTTTTGTTCCTGCAGCAAGTAGAAGTGTTTATTTCTTTATTTCTTTATTTTATTTTTATTTATTTATTAGTCTGCTTGTTTTCAAGGCAATTTAGGTACGAATTAATATACAGTTTTGTAGAAATCTCGATTTTGTAACATATTTTAATGTACAACCGTACATGATAAGCATGTTGGCACTAACTGTATGAGATTCAAAATTTAAGATAATATAGACAGGTTGTAGTAGTTAAGAGTCACTTTAAAAAGAGATACATATTTAAGATTACTAATCCTATTTGAACTTTTTTAGTCCCTTTCAAATTTCAATCAAGTACGGTTATTTATAATATAGCATACATATAATTTAAATAAAGTTACTTATCAATAATTTTTCTAAATAGAACAATTTTTATATAATTATTTTTCTTAAAGTAGAATATATATTTGATTTTGTTTTTATTTTCAAATAAACTGCATTGCTTTTGTCGTGCTTTAAACACAATTCTTCATAAGTATGCGCAGCACACAAAACAGAAATGTAAAGTACTAGCAAAAAAGCCTGTTAATAGGCTACCCGTCGATAAAGTGTTAAAAACATAAATTACTATTGTTATGATAGAGCAAAGAATCGAATAGCAAAACGACATTGAAGATTCAGACTTTCACAAAAAAAGATAGCTGCGCATAAACTAATGAAAGTGGAAATACGAGTTAACTCGCGATCAATGAACACCATCAGGCCATAAAAACACGAATATACTCGTGCGAAGTGTGAAGAGGTGGGTCGTTAGAAGAAACTACAAGCCAGGAATGTAAACAGAGGAATGTCTCGGGTAAAAGGGATCGTATTTTCTGGGAACGTGATTGTACGTGGCGGTAATAAACAAGATCGGCGAATGGTTGGCAGAGGGTCAGAGGTGGGGGTCCAATTTTAATATGTACGCCCCCGCAAGCGGTTGCACGTCGGATCTGAGGGGGCGTTCCTGCGACCCTTTGTCAACCGATGACGCCGCTGCATCTTATCACGATCAAGGCTCGGGATCTCCCATTCTGCTCCTCTACCTCGTTCAGCCCTCGGGGCCATCCCGGAGCTGCCGCTTGTTCAAGCAAAGACGTTGCCTCGACGTCTCGGTGGCTATAACTTTCTACTTTTTGCACGCTGATTTATGCTTCTTTATGCTTAGCGACGATACGTCGCCGTGTGGTACACTGGGATCTCTTGAAATTTCGCCAAGCATCTGCATCGCCTATCTGTCGGATCTCAGATCCGAGATAAAAGAGAGCGGCCTCGAAATTTCGTCCTCCCTGAATTGAATTTTTCCATAAATTATGATACAAGAAATTTTATACCCCCCAATAGATTTTCGCTAATTGGTGCACGATCATTGTGCTTTTGCATATCGTACGTCGGTGTATTTTTTACGGACGAGTTCAGATGCGCCTTACAATTCGCATCTTACAGTTGTAAATTATCAAAATTGGACGAAATGATGAGTGAAAAGGTTTTATGAATTTAACTGAAGGCATTCACGTGTTGAAAATATGAAGATGACGTCAATGATGATGAGTTCAGGTACATCGTACAACTTATTCTCTCTCTCTCACCCTCATACAAACATATACACACACTATTCGCATCCTACAATTGTTTAACTATCAAAATTGGAGCATTCAGGTTTGCATTGAGAATATGAAAATGGATACAATTATTATCGTGTTTACTTCAACAAAATAAATAGGCGCAAGAATTCAATGCACCATTTCCAATCATCCAAAAAAGTATCATTTTTGTCGTATTTTTCCATAACTATTTTTGCAATAAAAAAGTACTTTAAGTAACGATATTACTACAAATTTAGGTCCACATAAGAGCGTAATTATATAAAGAAACTATCAATTTTCAAGCTGCATTGTATTACAGCTTCAAAGACAGATTGAAAAAATTCCTCACAATCACACCTAGAACTCCCAAATAAACTGTTTGTACCCTCATCCAGAGGAAAATTGATTCGAGGACCTTCTCTCCCGATCCACAGCGTAACACGAGTTCGAATGATTACGATACGAACCTTCCAGTGATTAGAGCGATGTTGGCATGGCCAAGTCCGTAGTCGACCCCATTCGAGAAGTTTAATTTCCGACGAGATCCATGGCTAGAAATGGTATGGCACCCGAAAGTGAAGTACATCCGCCATTAATCTAATATTGCGGTTGCCGCCGCCCTCGACTTTGCGTGCTACACTCTAACCCTATTATACCTTGGCTCCCTTCGTACGAACCCATACACCAACACGCAGCTCTTGGGGAAACACATGCGCACATCTACGGAAAAGCGTCTCGCGTGGACACAGCGAGAAGGACAGCCAATCGGTTCGGTTTGCTGGTAATGATAATGCAAAATCAATGCCTGGCATGGCGGACGAGGTGTGACGGCCAAAGTGGATTACCTTCGCACCCCTCTACCTCGACGGTTCACCGCAATCAAAAAGAAGTTTATACGGAATCGCGTTTGTTTTCGTTGAAAGTTGCTTTAGATAGGGCCAACACTCGAGGTACCGAAATAGCGAGGTATATTTTGGAACTTTGGTGGTTTTGCTCCTTATTAACGCGTATGGCTGCGAAAATATTCCATGTACGGTAGCCAACATACAATGGTGGCTAAAATAATACATATAAGTTACTGTAAGTAATCTAACGTCAGTTAACCCTTCTGGCCTACAACGACGAGCGAGATTCGTGGCAAGGAATTTGGCCCATAAACAATAAGCACGAGTTTGACTCGTGGTACTTCCTAACTTCCTGTTTAATATGGCCCAAGCATTTGGTTTCAAAAATTATTGAAATAAGAACCACTCTAAATGTATAGAGATTAATGTGTATAAAAATATGTGTATAGATATGTATATAGATTAATTATGATGGACACCAGGTTGAAATCTCAGAATACATATACATATACAAATTTATTATAGTGGACATCAGGTTGAGATCTCAGAATATTCATAATTTAACCTGACAAAATGTCAAATCAATATTCTTACTTAAACTGTAGTCACAAACGATCGTATGTGACTGAATGTACATAGATTAATTATAATGGAAATCAGATTTAGACCTCAGAAGATTGGTAATTGAACCTAACAAAACATGGAATAAATATTTTTCCTTAAACTATAGTTACAAAGGCAAAGACCGAGAACTAATTTCCACGGCTAATATTTGAAGTGAATTCAGTAACATCGTTGTCACATCTATTATTTTGGCCACCACTGTGCACATTGTTTTTCTTTTCGCATGCGTGACCTATTGTATCGCATGACCGTTAGCATGCCGTGGTATCGTCGTCGGTTAACCCGCAAAAAGTGGTATCACGCCTGCTCCTAACACTCTTGGTCTGATCGCCGAGGTATCTGGCACGCGAGCCTTTGGCGATCGAAACCTTCTTGTGCGTTGTTCCTCGTGATGGACGTACTGTTTGCATATTATATGAAGTCGGTGGTCACAACTCTTCCTTTTCTCGCGTGAAAGGGACCCCTTGCTCTTTGCTTGCCACCGCTACTACTTCGAGGGTTCGAATTGTACGAGCCACGACGCGATTTCTCCAGAACCAAGCGATGCAATCTGCTCGCGGTTTGTTTGGCGAATCAGGCGAACGTCGTACACGGAATATCTAAATACGTAACTGCACGGTAATATAACACGTCGTTACGTAACGATCATGATGCGCAACTCGCGTGTAATCGTTACTTAAAACTAGATACGAGTTTTATGGAAATATTTCATGCAGGGGATAACAAGGATCCATTTTGCTCGTGAAACGTGCTGCGTACGGATCTCGAATTCGCGAAACTAATACGTGGTTTATCATAAAAGCTTCTGAACTTTTATTGCAACTCACTCTAATATGATGATAATTGTAAATGTAAATTTGTATTATTCGAGGTACATTTATTCTGAAGAAATACAGTAAAACCCCGATTTTCCGATTTAAGAGTCAAATCTAAAATAAGGAAACTTCGTAACTGTACAAGTAAATTATAGTTATAGTCACTATATACGATAAGTAAGACGAGCAATAACGAAACAAGGCTGTACACATTTCATTTGTCGGCCAATAAACGCATTAACTAACCAGAACGAAGAAAGTTCGAAAACTTTTGAGAGAGACCGCGTATGTTTCGACTTCTTTAATTATTTAATGCACCCTTCGTGTTAACAAGCAGTACATCACTCTCCTCTGTACACGGCGTGCATTATCTACTATCGGATGTCCTGGAATAATGCGCGTTCACTAGTCTGTGAAATGATCGTACATACGCGGCGTGTGTACGAAACTAAATTTACCAGAGACGTCGTTACGTAACAAATCATAAATCTCGCAGTCAGCGAGCGTACATAGCTGGAAAATCGCGGTTCTTACACGAGCCGTCTGCGATTGGTTGTGCCTCTGTGCGCGTGCGAACGCGAGTATGTTTACGATTGTGTATTCGTACAAATACATTTCTGTATCGCGTATGTACGCAAACATCGTACGTAACGCAACTTGGTGTACGTCCACGTCTCGCGTACGGACGTAATGTTCGTCGATGATGTTCCGTCGTATGAGTCATGACGTTTAACCGCGATTACTACAATTTATCAAGGCTGCAGTAGGTACGGGACCATTACGAGGCCCTGCGATCAAAGACAACTTTATTTGGCGAAACTTGGGATAACTTCGTTAGGATTCTGTCTTCTTTCTGGAAGTGTTTGCGATTTTTTACACTATTGATAGGTAAACAAGATTTTTAGGAGTAATATTATAATAAAAAAAGAGTTACTTGCAAGGATAATGACAGTCACTGATGAAATTGACTATATTATTAGGACGGTTGTCATATTAAACTCACAATTGTTCAAAAAGAAGGCAACAACTAATTTATTCAACAATTTCTTACAAAATTTTGTTAACGAATGGTCAACGCTTGTTATTTCTTGTTGTCAAAGTTCGTCGTGCAATCATTTCATCTATTTCTTGAGTCCCCGTACATCGCAAGTAAAGGGTTAAAGGAGGACGTGTCGCGGCGGATTGTCCGTCGGCAATCGACTATTCACAGCTCGCTTCTTTTTTTATTGCGAATATTAAATGACAATATGAAATTACGGTTGCATCGTGGAACAGTGTTCGAGATGTGTATCGAGATATGCTTCGAAGTGATTGCGCGAACGGGACGCCGCTCCTGAACCAATTATCGTCTTTGAAATATCCACAACGATGCGTTCTGCGCTCTTGGCCATCGGGAGATGCAGTAT